TCAGGGAGACAAAGGTGTTACCCTTGGTAACGGGCGATTAGTTCTAATCGCCCGCTCTAGCGGGCGATTAGAACTAATCGCCCGCTACAGCGGGCGATACGTGATTAAACGTCCCTGTTGAAACAAAAGAACCCGGGGCAACTATGCTATTATCATATCTATTGTACGTTATTTGTAACTTCCACTGTTAGCTTTATGAACGTTTTTATTACTATTAGGAATTTTTTGTCATGGTACGGAGTTGCTTTTGCGGCACTGACAACCGACACTATTACCCCTATGTTGACAAAGTTTGTCTTCTGCAATAAGCCTTGTCGCGAGCTGCAGAGAGTCTCTTTCTTCCTCGATTTTAATTCTGTTTTCTCATTTATTTCAACAAATTTTCGTTTAAATCCGCCGCTCTGTTATATAAAGTTAATATCGTGTCATGATCTTTGAGTACATTTCCAAAAGACAAAACTGACGACTGAAGGGTAGACATTTTAGATTTTAGACTCTCAATATCAGTAGTAACTTGATCCAATGGACATGAATGATTAAGGCCCCAGTGTTCGTTCGCTGTCTGATTATTTGTCTGACATGAACTATCAGTCATAAGAAACTTGTTATTCTCAATATTCTCAAGCATGCCATCCCCCGAGTTGGTTTCGTCAGCTATAGTATTGCCACTTTTATTAAAAGAGTTCTCCAACGACTCTTGGTCATTGCATATATATAAACCAATTGTATTCAGCCTTCTACCTGAGGTGGCATCCACGCTTGTTTCGGTGTTGTCGTCATTATTGAAGTGGTCTTGACATCTCTCTGTATTGCTGCCTTGATTTTCGACTGAACTTTCACTGTTTCACATATAGATGTCAGAATCTTAGACAATTCGTCTGTCTCAGTCGAATTTCCAGCCAATGTGATAGTTTTAATGGTTTTTCCGTGCCATTTCAAGCTGACAGTATCAGCTGTGAATAACTTTACATCTCCGCCCGGCGACGCCCATCTTCCTGAGAGTTTTAACTCCTTTGAGACAAATTCCTTCAATTTAACTAATGTACTATCCCAGTAGAACCTTTCTCCACTGGCCTTGAAGTTAGCTCGAAGATCTACAGCCATATTTTGTGAGAATTCGAGTAAATATAACGATTAATAGCGGAGCTAATAAAAACACGTCCGACTTATTCAAATCGTCCGGCTGCTGGATGGCATGGGACCTTTGGAAATGCTGGGCTAGGGACCTTTGGAAATCCTGTTGGACTTTTATAGTAAGGCTCCTCGTTTTAGTATTCTAATGATTAAAGACTATGAAAGAAGAAATTATATACAAGCAGAAACTATTTACAACAAATTGAAAGATGAAAAAATACTAAGAAATAAAATAGTACATTATTATCATAAATATTATCATAGATAATAAGTAAAGGGATTTTGCTTTTCTCTTAAAAGAAAAATATGTTTTGATATTTTTAATTTCGTCATCAAGAAAATTCCATAAAGAAACTCCTTTGTTAAATACAGTATATATACGGTAGTTTGTTCTTTTATAACTCACATGTAACTTGGTAGAGTTTCGCGTATTATAGTTGTGTACATCGTTATTTTGTTTGAAGTAATCATTATAAAAGTCCGGCGAATTTTGACAATAATTGCGACGATACATGAATAAACTACATAAATAATCATTGATTTGGTAGATGTTCAAGATTTTCAAATCCAAATATAGTGGTTTAGAATGTTCCATACAGGATTTAAAACTAATTAGTCGAACAATTTTCTTTTGCACATTCAGTAACTTTTGAAGCCTGGTTGGGTACGTATTTCCCCAGACTAGATTTCCGTACGTGAGGTATGGATAGACTAAAGCATAGTATACCAATTTCAAACTGTTTTTGTTGGAAAAATGTCTTAATTTTGCAATCAAACCCGCGGATTTTATTATATTTTTCTGAACTGAGTGAATGTGGTTCTTCCATGAAAAATCGTGGTCAATTAATACACCCAAAAACTTTACACAAGATGCTTGTTTAATAATATTATTATTTATTTTGAGAGTAATTTCTTGATTCAAAGATTTATTTTTTTATTTAAAATGATAAATTTTGTTTTGAGCGTACCGGTCACGTGGTAAAATTTCGTAAAATACGACAAATACCGAGTTTTTCCGACGAGCATTTTCATCGCTCATGCACGTTTTACTTTCGTCGAGGAAAGGCAAAGAAAAATGTTTGATTGTTCGCGGAAAATTTACATAATTTTTGAGCGCCTTAGAAAAATAGATCAAGGTAGGTAAAGCTTTGCTGGTTTTAATTTACCTTATATTCTCTTATTTGTTGTGATTTTGGAGCAGTTGTGCTCGCAATGAATGATTATTTATCAGGCGTTTAATATTTATATCGTGAAGGCTACGCTATCAAAATACTCAATTTTTACATATGCTCAAATCATAGGAAGCCCAAACAAGCGGGTTTTATTAAATAAAAGCCGTAATTAAAACACTTGAGTATGCAATTAGCAATAAAATTGCTGTTAGAATCATGCACATAGCCTGCTGCTGTCGCGCTGTGATTTGACTATATAATTAGTGAGGCATCCTACTATGTTATACGTCACTATAATTATATAGTCAAATCACAGCGCGACCGGAGCACGCTATGTGCTAATTGCATACTCAAGCGTTTTAATTACGGCTTTTATTTAATAAAACCCGCTTGTTTGGGCTTCCTAAGCCTGCGTAGCAGTCAATAAAATAAAGCGACTACTACGCTAGGGCTTCCTATGATAAAAACATTGCCTATTCGCGTGAGAATCTTAAGTTTTCTTATTTTGACACAATAACTATTTTTCAATAAATATATTCATATTAAACTTATTGAATCAATATTTTAAGTTTCAGGCCAGTTGTACCAAAAGTTATAAGCGGTAGCGCATCATAACCAGGGCACAGAATGGGTCATACAGAAGGCCGATTTCTTGTTTTTTCCTATCATTTTCCAATGATTTTGGCGTGACTGTAATTCGTCATCAAAATGCTGACGCCATGGTCCTGGCTGGTGCGCGTTTGGGAGGCATTCACCCCCCTGATAATATTCAAAATGGCGGACGTCCAGGGGGAATGTCTCTTTGGCGCGCACTGGCTGGGATCTGACAGCGTTTACTCGAGTTGACCTTCTGTGTGTCTTTGTTCTGTGCCAGGGGGTGACTGCTTCTGTTTACGATACTTGCCGAGTGATGAATCATGACGAATAGCACGTACGCAGAAAACAATGGAGATGGATTTCTGTATAGTATTCTGAGTCATGAGGCTTCATGGTTTTCATGGCATGCAACATGTACGCACTGCGTACCTATTTTTGAATCTACGAAGTAGATTATATGCTATCGACGTATTAGCTGTTAGCTGTTCACTGTTAACGTAGCCAATCAGCGACTATAGTATTACCAAAAATTACGTAATTACAAATCACAGCTAGCTTGGTCGCACGACAATCCAATATGGCGGTAAGGTCCGGTAAAGAGGGGTTAAAATTTATTATTTATATTTATTAACGCATTAAAATATGATGACTTGTGGATGAAAATGGAGCGAATCAAGGTAAATCAATCTTGGAACTACGTGTCTGCTTTGTAGTAGCATGCTTGTTGTACACTTTTCAGCAATTTACGAAATAGTACGTATTGGTTTTCGAAGCGTCTACCATGTTAACATGTTTCCTATTTGGAGTCATCTGGACACTTAACAGGCATTTGAATCCGTTTTGGCGCTCGAATGAAGGCGAAATTTGGTAAAATACGAGCTACAGAATTATTTTAAAGTATAACAACCAGCGGAGAAGTAAGCCACTAAGGTTTCAAGTAAAATTGGCACATTAAATGTTTCAAATGTTTATATAATTTATATAAACAAACGTTTGCGCGTTCTATTAAGTCTGTATCATGGAGCGCCGATTTCTCACTCCTGCTTAGTTTCTCATATGAAACAATTATGTTAAGTACATAAATACATAGTGTATATTAATATAGTTCGGCTCACCGCACACTTTCGTTGAGTGCCGATGTTTAATGTTTAAAGTGCTTATGAAACGAAATTTTGCCTCGATTTTTATTGTCTTATTAAAAGGTACTGCTTAAATGATGACGAATGGCGTTTACAGTTTGTTCGTATCTCATCTCATTCCCAAGTTATTGCACTTTCTATATTTTGAGTTGTGACGTCACTAGTTTGACTCAAAATAGTGGCAATAACAAGAAAATCTGATATCTTGATGATCATTTAATAAAATTCAATGAAACTTGGCACACGTAGTGGGTGCAACGAAGTGAACAATTTGGTTTGTTTATATGGTTGTAGTGGCAACACACTCGTCCCCAGTCCCTTCTCTTCCAATTTCTATATGATCCATTTCCAACGAAATAAATAGTAATTTCTGCAATTGTCCCTTATTACTATAATATGTGTAGGTATTGTGATCAGTTTAAACCATTATAACATGCAAACATCCTCTGCAAGAGGTCTACAGGAGGAAATTTTTGAAAAGGAAGAGAAGAGACTGGGGACTAGTGTGTTGCCATGGCAACCACATGACCTGCCAAAAATATTCATATGGGTGCACTCACTATGTGTACCGAGTTTCATTGAATTTTATTACATATTCACTAAGATATCAGACTTTCTTGTTATTGCCATTAGCTCAAGTCAAACTAGTGACGTCACAACTCAAAATTTAGAAAGTGCGATAACTTGAGAATGAGATGAGATATGAAGAAACTGTAAACGTCATTCTTCATCGCTCTAGCTGTACTTTTTAGCAAAACAATAAAAAATGAGGTGAAAATTTCGTTTCATAAGCACTTTAAGACGTAACTCTCCAAGATGTTGTTGTTAGAATTCCGAAATGTAAAACGATCCGATATGAAGTCTGCGCTCATGTCGAATATTATTTCACTCAATGTAGACACAATAAAAGTACAACAGTGATGTATTTATACGTGATTCTTGTTCACCTTTAACTATATATTGTACTTATCCTGTCTCTGTTTCAACATTTCACAATACTTTATTAGTCAATTGTATATTGAGATGTGTTTTATAATATGTTGTTTCACGGCAGGAGCATTGGCTCTATATAGGTCAGTGGGCAGGAGTCTATTATTATGGCGTGTACGAATTCGTTACGCGAAAAACGCGTTCGGATTGTGCACGCATAAGATACAATTACTGTGGGTTTTTACTACCATAGATTTGTTAAGTGTGCAACTAAGTATCATCCTACAATTAGAATTGTAAATATTTTAATCTGGAATAACCGTTTTAGCGCAAATTACTGGTATATCAATGACCTGTTTATGCACGCATATATTATTTTCTGATTATGTTCTACACTAACTAGTGCTTGGCGGTCATTCACTTTTAAAAGTTGTCGATCGACTACTGGGTAGGGTGGGGCAACGATTTATTGCTATTGGTAGATTCATGTACGCCGAGCGTACCTATTTTTATCAGTTTTGCTGAGCATGGACAGCTACCACGCCCACATATGTAAAATCTCGTTCCTGAGCTACACCACTCAGAGTATGATTTTCATTTCTGTTCATATTTGTTTTTAATTGTTGTACAATAATGGTGTATGTAATTTCCCTTTCTACATTGGCTTAACAATATAGTAAATAGAACGACAATGGTATATCCATGCATCTTTTGTTAAAAGCACAATGTTTTTACATCGTTACAGTACGAGATTATGTAAATAATACAAAAATTAAGACAATATTAACTAGACTATAATGAATACAAAATATGTGGTTACACTATTGCATTTGCATGTTCACAATCACTGAGTATTGCTATCAAACTACTGGTAGTATATTAAAATTAAAGTCCTGTAACTTGCTTCACCCAGGGGTAAAGGTTGGCAACATGAGCATAAACTCCATAGTATCCGGCAGATGCACACCCACGACCCCAGCTCGTCACACCAGTAAGATACCATGAACCATTACTATGTTGACAAACAAGTGGACCTGAGAAAGGAAAACAGGTTAATACAACATGTATTTGTTTAAAAAACGGTTTCCTTTAAATGATTAGTGGCACCCTGTACCTTTGCAGGTTCACAATCTTGCTGGTGGCAATAGTTTTATGGGACAACTAGATGAAGTCCGTAGTACATGTTTTAAAGTTATTTTTAAGTTTTAATCAAGCCATATAGAAAAAATGCATTTATTCTTCATTCCGAAGTAGTTCCTTCCTGTGGTTTTAGTCGATCTGGTTTTTACTGCACTAAGTGGTTGCTGACCTATAGTGGTTGCTAACATGTCGTTCTGACTGCGACAAAAAATCGAAAAAAACTCGTATCTATTCTTGAATCCTACCTCCACTGTCGCCTTGGCAAGTGTCGATACCACCTCGAGAATATCCAGCGCACAGCATTCTATCAGTAATACTCGAGCTGCCGTATGATTTTTTGCATTCTTGTGGAGTTACAATGGGAACTTGAGCTTCCTGTAAGACATCTGGCCTTGATCCCCCACTTTGCAGTCTGCCCCATCCAGAGATGTAACAACGTTGACCTACATAGAAATACATAATATCGGTATTTTATCTGCATGCATATGAACATTGTTTTGGAGGAAGCGTTCAGGACATTATGAGCTCGATGCTTAGGGAGGTTACCATCAAATTGCCATGTGTGATGTAGGTATAGTAATGTCTGTTCACTTTCATTGGTTAATTTGATATCGCTAATTTAATAGGCATTTCACGAGTAGAAAAATTCGGACCTGAATTCAAAAACAACACAATCTAGTCTTCGGGGGGCCTGGAATAGTGATTTTTTTCCGTTGCAAAAGTGATTGAAACGATTGATAAGACTACGGATATCGCCCTGATAACTAATAAAAAGAAACTTTAATTTTTATATACTGAAGTTTAATCAGGGTTAGACCAATCAACGGACAATTTTTGAAAGCTTGAAAAAATATCGGTGGATAGTACTGCATGCCTGGCCTTTGTACAACCAGTCCTCAAACTTTTGACGTCCCAAACCAAATGCAAGGGATTATCTATTCAGGGCGACGACTGTTGATAATGATAAACATGATATTGATAATGGCGGTAGCATTTAATACCTCGTTTTTTAGGCTTTCTATTGCTCTAAAAATAACGATACTTTACCAGTGAAATCAATGCCAGTGTTTATACAGACGGGCTTTATCCTTTGTGTAAACTGAACACTTCTGGAAAGTCTGATGACTGCAATATCATAATCAAAATCCGTTTGGTTGTACTGAGGATGAACTGTAATGCCATTTGATGCAATACTGATATCTTGTTCATGTCCTTCATTCACGCCCATATCATGCTCACCTATTCTGATCTGAAAATTGGAAATTAGTAGAACAAAGTGTGACTGAAAATGGAAAAAGAAGAATGTACATAAAAGATGCGAAGGCTCAGTTAGTCGGTGTTATCATTGATCTGGAATTATACCCAGAAGTGGTAATAATTATTTTATTGGACTATAATACACCCATTATTGGAAACATGGAATTTGGAGATAACTCTCAGACACAACAAACAAAATAGGCATCCAGGAGGAAATTCATGGTCAGTGTGAGGAAAAGAAAAGAGGGCAGCTAAGATAAATTTGACGTTTGTAGGTGGTCTGTGAAGGGACATATGAAGGTCAAGGGGGAAAATAGCACAAACAGTTAGGATACCATCATGAAATATTCAAACAGGGTTCCAGTGGACTTGACCAGGTAGGATTACGTGAGCTTTAATTACCGTCACGCTATTCCAGTCCGTTGATTTGACGCAGTGAGCAGCAGTAATAACGTATTGATTTGAAACAAACGAACCACCACAGAATGGGAATGTTCCTCGCAAAAGTGCTACTTGCCATGGCCATTCACCTGGTGTGGCGTCCTGACCACCGACAATTTTGGGGAAGTCACTCAGACCACGTCCTTTCTGGCCACATGATCCTGATGGAGGTTTTGGTGTGCCAGGAGATCCTGAACATTGACCAGATGTGATTGAAATCTCATCCAATGCAATGTCACCTTGGTAATTACTTCCTCTTACTCCACTGAATACAACCTTTGAAAAACAAATTAAAATGAAGTACCGTTCATAGAGATCATGATGGAGACTTCGTTTATACACTCTATGCGATAGGTCGTTTCATAAGGCTATACAATACCAGAGATAGGTGCCAAAGTCACCTAACGCTCGCCGTAGTTACTTTAACGGGTTTAATTAGAAACGAAAACGCATTGTCTTTTAGCAGTATATCCTCTTTCTTTTCCGCTATCCACTTCTATTTCTTCTGCTACTGGAAATCGCAACCCGCGTTACTTTATCCGCGCCAGTATCCGCCCCGATTACACGACTCAAAGTCATGCAGATCAAAGTTATATACGTCTGTAAATGCCTACTTTAAAAACATTCAAGTTTTTTAAAAAAATATAAGAAACAGATGGAAAATCAGAGGTATATTACTTATTAGTCATTATACGCCGAGCATTTATTTGCATATAAATATAAACCTTGCACAATATGCATGGACATATGCATATAATATCATGTCGCAAATGTTGTGCAACAAATATACTGTACCTGTAGATAATTTAGTATCCTGCTTTTTAAAGGCCCGTTTACACTTGCAATTTCGCCCGTTTTCATTGTGATTTCTACTGCGAGTTTTCTCTTTTGATGCATGTGAACAAGTAAAGAAGATATGAATGTTGTGAGTAGCCTATATGTACCCTCATCTAAACATTCCTAACTCATCCACTCGTACATGAGGAGAAAAAAGCCGCACCTAAAATCTGTAAACGGGCCTTATATTATATAAGAATGTTCGTTTTGATTTGACGACAAAATTCTTAAAATTTTGGCAAGTAAACTTGTTGTATTTACTATTAGCTATATCTTCATTTGCAATAATTCTAAACGAAATAAGTGTATTTTGATACGACTCAATGAAAGTATAAAACCTAAACAAACATGTATATAATATAGTTAATACACATATGAACACCACATTCACTATGCTATGCTTTAAAATACGATATTTTATCGTCGTAATTTCCCGTATACGTCATTTGCTGGCTGCTTACGATAATAAAATGCAATATGTTTTAAATGTAGATAAGGTGAAAATTAAAGGGTATGAGCAACAAAAAATTTTATTGTTTCATCTGAAAGAGCGTGAAAAATAAGCCGATTGGCCGTTTAATGCTCTATTCTATCTCATCTGGTTCCGAAGTTATACGCAAAAATGTGCAAAATATAAATTGCTGATTCAGCACAAAGTGTGACGTCATTAGCTGGGTAAGTTAAAGTATGTTTATTGAATACTACACTGAAACATAGCTCAGTTATTATGAGCCCAAATCGAATGAAATTTGGATACTGATTGTACATGATGAGACGTATGGAAAAACACTTCTAATTTTGTTGCCAAGGTAACAATGTCGTTCTCAGTCCCTTTGCGCCAATTTTATAAAACAGCTTTATTCATGGTACTGATAAGAATACAATAATATCTGAAGTAAGTGTACCATACCTATGCATGCCAAAAGTTTACTTGCATGATAATAATTCGAAAATGACATACACATAGATAAACGCAACTAGTTATTCAAAATCAGTGTAAGGGGCCTGGGGACGACTGTGTTGCCTTGACAACAAAATTAGAAGTTTTTTTTTTCTGTGTTGGTGTAGTGTACTCAGGTGAATATGATATTTGTGGTGTTACTCTGAGTGTATATCCACACCGGGCGAGCTTGAAAAATATGCCCGGCCATGGTGGGATTCGAACCTACGACCTTTGGAATACTAGCCCAATGCTCTTGGTTCGAGTAAGTGATATTTCGGAACAGAATCTAGTTCCCTACGGTTCGAGTAAGTGATATTTCGGAACAGAATCTAGTTCCTTCGATACCAATGTATTCTAGTAATATGAATTTTTTTCTGTGTTGGTGTAGTGTACTCAGGTGAATATGATATTTGTGGTGTTACTCTGAGTGTATATCCACACCGGGCGAGCTTGAAAATTTATTATAAAATTAGAAGTATTTTCCCATGCATCTCATCATGTACTATCTGTATGCAAAATTTCATTTGATTTGAGCCAATAATAACTGAGCTATGCTTCAGTTTACTATTCAATAAACATACTTACCCAGCTTATGACGTCACACATTGTGCTGAATCAGCAATTTATACCTTGCACATTTTTGCGTATAACTTCGGAACCAGATGAGATAGAATAGAGCATTAAACGGCCAATCGGCTTATTTTTTCATGCTCTTTCAGATGAAGCAATAAAAGACCATAACATTTTTTGTTGCTCAACATGTTACTTTTGAGTTTTAATTTAATATTCTGTTCAATTTAAATGTTTACCGTTCATCACAAGAGTATGATTTATAGAGCGGGGGCGGGATTGTTGAACAAGACTTCATATTATAATCCTAGTGTTATAAAATGATAAGCTTTATAGAGTTAAGGTCTCGCACAATAAATCTGGCTGCAGCTTGAGACGTTTTCCCTGCGAAAAATATCCCGCATAGTGAAAACGTTTCCAGAGTCTAACATCGTTATTAGAGACCTTTGATTGACGTTTACGCGGCAAACGTCAAACCGCTAACGACGTTTTTGATTTTAGAACTCTATTATAACAGCTTTTACGCCAGTTTTGGAATATATTAATTTAAACAATTATTAAAACTTGTGGAATTTAACAATTAATGATTCAAGAAAACAAATTAACCACTAGTCATGTATTCACCAAAGCAGTACATTACGATTTAGCGTTTGGAGTTTACGTCTGGCGTATAAATTTCATGATTTAACGACTACAAGCCCTCGTAGTAGTTCAAGCATAAAATTTATGCGCCAAACTGTGGCCAAACGTCAACTTCGGACGCCAGATCTTAATTTACTGCTTTCGTGAATACGTGTTAATACACGTGACAGAGATATGTATAGAGAAATATCGGACCGAGGTCTCAAAGACCGAGGTACGATATTTCTCTGTACATACCGAGCAAGCAAGGTTAATAAAAAGTAGCGTGGTACATATTAACCAATGTATTCCTTCTTTTCCACTAATAACCATTCGCAGATATTTTATTAATAACAAATTACATTAAAATTTTCAATTGGTTTTGCTGTTTTGTTTTAAAATGCATGCTTTTGTTTTTACGTAATGGACCCTCGGTCCATTACGGGGAAATATAAATGGCCGCTGAAAGTGCTTCTCAGGCAAGGCACAGTCCGCCATTTCACCGGAAGTGATGCTTGCCATATAATAAGACACACAAATAACTCAAGACAGATTATAAAATAATAATTCTTTCCGAATGGTCTTTAAAGTGAGATCATACCAGATCAATATACTGTATTTACCAATACTTATCGGAAGACAAAGTTGTATATACTTACAAAATAATGGCTTCCATTGTTTATTTGTACTTCAGCTTTCTCCCACAGGTTGCCTTGATCACCAGATTTATTGAACAGCTCCACCGCTCGCGATCGATTACTCATGTTTTGATATACGATAAGAGATCCTATGCTAGCGCCGTACATGTGGTAAAAAAATTTCAAACATTGAGTGCCGTTGACTTGGGGACTGACAAGATAGGCTTTGTCACCTTGCACTCTGGGACTTGATGTCTCAATATAGACATACTTGCCTGCAAGTGAAAACAAACATTTATAAGTTCATTTAAAAACTATTGTTTCATTTATTCATAGTTAGTAGAAAATAAACATGGTTTGGAAGCTTGACAACGATCATTGTTCTATGTTTTTGTTCAAGTTTATGGAAATTTATGCACTCGGATTCTGTATAATGAGGCGATTGCCCAACAAAAAGCTTAGTTTCAATCGCTGAACCCTAAATTTGAAAAGATGTGTGCACTCGGAATTACATATCTCAAACTCACTAATAATTCATGAGTAAATTAGCCAACCATATTGTTTTATTTTGCTCACATGATAATACTGGATACCTGATGAAGTACATTGATCCAGTCCTAGGACTGGATCAAAATTAATTCAGTCCTTGGACTGGATCCAAACTAATTAAGTAGTGATTTATTCGCATGAGATGTCATTTCAAATCTGCCAATTCGGACTGGACTAGATTTCAACTCCTCGCATTTTGATCCAGTCCTCGGCTTCGCCTGGGACTTGATCAAATTGCGTGGACTTGAAATCTAGTCCAGTCCTCATAGTCGGATTTGAAATATTACTTCAACATCAGTTAAAGTTTGAATAGGAAATACTTTGAAGTTTACCGGCCTTCCTAACCATGTTTATTTCTATTATCTATGATTTATTATTTTACTTTACTCTTATTAGTATTTCATGCGGATATTAGCCAACCATTTTGCTTTATTTTGCTCGCATGATGATACTGGATATACCTGGAGGACTGATTTTGATCTAGTCCTAGCCAGATGATCTTGATACGCGGAAAAGTACTGGCACTAGTTGTAAAATAGAAATCCATTTTATGATTAAAACAACTGAATATCTCCTGTAATATACTTTATTTCGATTCCATATTTTTGTCAGAGCTAGAGTTCTCATAACCAAACATACTTACAAAATTTCAACTAGTTTCATAAAGAATAACGAAAGATATAATTGACTGAATACATCAAAATGGATTTCTATTCGGACAACCCTTTCTGAGCGCTGATTGGCTAAAATACGAACACGAGATCACCTGGAGAACTGGACGGAGACAAAATGAATTCCGTTCTACGCCTGATCATGGATCAAAATTAATTTACTTTACGATATGATTTTGTAATTGTAATTGTAATTGTAATTGTAATTGTAGTTGTAGTTGTAGTTGTAATTGTAATTGTAATTGTAATTGTAATTGTAATTGTAATTGCAATTGCAATTGCAATTGCAATTGTAATTGTACTTAAGGTTACAGGACACCCTTTTTGGCGTTTTGCGGAAAATCGCTACTGCGCGCTCAATATCAGTCCGATTGTCATCAAATTTTCACCAAATGTTCTCCAGTGCATGAAAAATATGGTAAAGTTGTAAAATTAACAAACAATAAAATAATGTAAGAATTATTCAGGAAAATCTTAAATCGCGGTACCGTTACGCTTTTGAGTTGTGCTCCTGCTGGTTTTAAGTTATATTTATGAAAATATCATTTTTAGACAGTAAAATAGTTGTTCTAAAAAATTGTGTTCGGAAATTTTTGTTTATTTCGTCATTCCGCTGATATGGCGATTTCTTTGACGACTGCAATATATTTCTGAATCGTTTGAGTGAATTGCTCTTTATTTTTAAAATATCCAAAATTAAAAAAAGCCGAACACAATTTTGAAGC